GAAATTGGAAAAGCAAAAACTCTAAAAAGTGCTACTCTGGAAATCAAAGTAATATCGAAATATGCACAGGAAATTGAAAAATCAGCGAAAATCACTCACCTATCGTTTCTGTCGTATCATTCCTCCTTTCCTAGTGCTGCCTATGTACTTTTGTTGGGGTCGTTCGAGTCCAGGAGAGATGTTAATCTGAAAAATTGAATTCTTTAGGTAGAACCTGCAATAGAAGAGCCCCCACAAGTTTGATCCCAATTATCTCGCTTCCTGTGTGAGATATCAAAAAGTTGTCAACTGACCAAATATTTTTGATATTATGATTAACAATTTATCAGTTGACACATTTTTGATATCTTCCATGCGAACTGAGATAAATTGGCTCAAAGTTGAAAGTAAAGGTGTCCTTCAATCAAAACAAAGAGAAGGAAATAAAATGGCCAACTGGGTGGCCTAGAACAAATTCGATTCAAAAAGGTGACAATATAATCCAAGAGTATTTAGTAATCTCACAATTCAATCTAAACCTATTTGAGAAAGGGGAAAATAGTGTGTGAGACGAAGAGGTGCAGACGAAANTCACCGCTATACTTGCACTTTGAACCCAATTATCTTGATTCCTATGAGAGATATCGAAAATTGACAAACTGTTGAAACGTTGATGATATTGTGATAAACATTTCATCAGTTGACAGATTTTTGATATCTCTTATTGGAACCGAGATAATTGAGCTCAAAGTAGACTTTTATGGCAATTTTGAAGTATTCAACTAAATATTCAAAAATATTTCAGGTGAGACGGAAAGGATTCTGGACCCTGTTTGTCGAGTTTCCAGGAGATCGTTATGCGAAGTCACCAAGAAAGGTAAGGTTTCGGGAGTATTGAGTTCCTGAGATTCTTAGATTGTGAGATTCTGAGATTCTGAGATTCTGAGATCCTGAAATTCCGAGATTCTAAGATTCTGAGATTCTGAGATTCTGAGATTCCGAGATTCAGAGATTCTGAGATTCTGAAACTACGAGATTCTGAGATTCTGAGATTCTGAGATTCTGAGATTCTGAGATTCCGAGATTCAGAGTCTGAAATTCCGAGATTCTGAGATTCTGAGATTCTTAGATTGTGAGATTCTGAGATTCCGAGATTCTGAGATTCCGAGATTCAGAGTCTGAAATTCCGAGATTCTGAGATTCTGAGATTTTGAAACTACGAGATTCTGAGATTCGGAGATTCCGAGATTCTGAGATTCCGAGATTCAGAGTCTGAAATTCCGAGATTATGAGATTCTGGAATTTTGAGTTTCTGAGATTCTGAGATTCTGAGATCCTGAGATTCTGAAATTCTGAGGTTTTGAGATTCTGGAATTTTGAGTTTCTGAGATTCTGAGATTCTTAGATTGTGAGATTGTGAGATTGTGAGATTCTGAGATCCTGAGATTCTGAGATTCTAAGATTCTGAGCTTCGGAGATTCTGAGATTCAAAATTTCTTAGATTCAGACATTTTGATATTCCAAAAAATTCCCCGAATTTCCAGATAATCTCCCGTGACTCGTACCGCAAGTGGGTGATGGAAGTGTACTACTATCCGGGTGCCGTCGGCTTCTCCGAATGGCACAAATTGTCGCGACGGGGTGAAATGCACATTCATGGATAAATGAACACCCCACGACACCACTTCCATTATCTCCTTTTAATACCTGCGGATCTCTTTTGTCCGGTGGACAATTTTTACTTTTTTTTCTCAATTTTTCAATTTTCGCCCCGATTTCCTTTCATCTAGAATGTTCTACTTTCTATGAACTAAAAATAAGTTTCATCGGTGATTTTCAATGAAAAGCTTGCGTTCGGTCGGGGAATTTACCCCGCCCGGACCGAATTCGTGCATTTGCGCGTCACAAAATACTTCGTACGCAAACACTGGACGCGCAAATGCACAAATTCATTAATCTCGGTCGGTGGTCGCCGGTCTCCGATTTCCGGCATGAGCCCCGAAATCGGTCAGCGCTAACACGGAATTCGTGCATTTGCGCGTCACCATTCAAGCGAGTGTTTGCGTACGCAGAATTTCATTTTACGACGAATTTTTTGAATTTGCGCGTCACAAAATACTGCGTACGCAAACACTCTCTGGCTCATTGACGCGCAAATGCACCGATCGAAATGGAAGCCTTATTTTCAATCATCGTATTCAGAATCCTTCTAATTTGTATTTGTATTTGTACAAATAGTTTATATCGTGTAGAGCTTTATTCCTTTTTTCCTATTCTTCTTCCCCGCCCGTTTCAGTCTCTTTTCCACCTCCAAATACTGCCACTGTCTTTATGAAAAAAAAGTCTTTGTAAAGTTTTATAACATTTTTCTCGTTCGATAAAAAAGTGTTGATTCAGAGTTTTTTTTTGAAAAATTTTCAGGGTTAACCGGTTCGTGTAAAGGGGGTGTTTTGACTAGGTACAAATATACAAATAAAGACATAGAATGGGGTTGTTTAAATGACTAGAGGAACAAGGAATGTAAGACATTTAAGAAAGAAAGAGTTATTGAAATGCGGTAGATGGACATCGGGATAGTGCTGGTGTCGAGCAGCAGATGTCGTTGTCGTCTATGACGTCAAGAAGTTCCTGAGGGGTTGGACCGCCAGAGTACTGAAAAGCTTTGGAGGGTTATAGGAGAGAAAAAGAATCAAGATGCATGTTAAGACGGCCTAGAAAACACACCAGGTGAGCATCACCCTGTTTCTAGGCCATTTACCATTATGGCCTAGAAATCTCAAGTTAGGCCACCCTGTTAAAGTAGCCTAAAACACAGCAGGTGAATATCAGCCAGTTCCTAGATTATTTACCATGGTAGCCTTGAAAATTCAAGTTTCAAACGTTAGGCCACCATGTTAAGATGCCCCAGAAAACACATCAGGTGAAAATCAGGATGTTTCTAGGTTATTTTGCGTCAGGGCCTAGAAACCTCATCATTCAAAAAATAGGCCACCATGTTCAGATGACCTAGAAAACACACCAGGTGAATATATGACATTTTAAGGTTATTTTCCATGGTGGCCTAAAAAGCTCAAGTTGCAAAAGTTAGGCCACTATGTTAAAATGACCTAAGAACACATCAGATGAATAGCAGGCCATTTCAAGGTCATATACATTGGCGACCTAGAAAACTCAAAACAGTTAGGCCACCAATTATTCATATCCAGGCCATTTCCATGGTGGTCTAGAAAACTCAAGTTGCAAAAGTTAGGCCACCATGTTAAAATGACCCACAAGACACACCAGATGAATACCAGCCTATTTCTAGGTCATTTACCATGGTGGCCTAGAAAACTCAACTTGCGAAAGTTAGGCCATCATAGTAAATTCCCTATTTTAGAGAAAACAAAGGCTTACATTTGACAAACTGATTAATGATCTTGGCGATTGTGTCAACTGGGTTTTTATCAGATCCGCCTGATTAGCAGCGGCTGGCGGGTTCACTTGGTGACCGGGATTCGATCCATTCTTCAAATGAAACTGATCCAGAGCTGATGTCAGATCCCAGACTTGAACACTTCCGTTCCCATTCCCACAGAAAAGATGTTTACGGAGACGGCTTCCAAGCTTCTGACCATCGAGCTCATGGACACAAAATGCAGTGATTGGAGAGTCTTCAACAGAATCAACTGTGCAAATTCTGGAATTTTGTTGGTTTTGGGGTGTTCTAAATCATCTTTCTAGTACCTTTCTCCAGTCGATGCTAACCGAACGAAAAGCTTCTGTGCATTTGGAATGACTCGCTGGACCAGAACCTGCTCCGAATCCTGATCTCCATATGGGCCAGGATGGTTGTATTGTTTATCAGTAGTCTCATCAGTAGAATCCAAAGTTAGAACTTTGAACGATGCCAGAGGAACAGTTCCCGGTTGAGTGTTGATCATTCCACGGAATCTGGTGACGTTCCAAGAGCGAACGTGGTTATATTCCGAGCAGACACTGATGAGATAGGCGGTGTTCAAGGAGACTCGAACCACGGGGGAGTTGTGGATGTTGTAGCTTTGGAAGAGAACCGGCTGATGACCGGCAGTCTCTGGATGCTGGAGGATGAGATTGACGACTCCATTGGAAGTTCCGTAGGCGATTTCGATCCAGTTACCGCAGGCAGCTAAACAAAGAGAATATGCTTATCATTCTTATACCGAAAATCGGAGTTGTGGGAGAGAGACGCCGGTGGCCGTGGCCGAAGGTCCTACAACGACAACTATCGTAACCAGTAGATGATTTTTGGCGCGATATTTGAACTTTTAGAGCTCATCAGCTCATTTTGGCCTTTACTAAAAAAACATTTTGGGTCTAAAAATGCAAAATTTTGCTTTGAAAATACTGATTTTTTGGCTTAAACCGATGGAATTTTGGCTCTGAAAATACGAAATTTGGCTTTGAAAATACGGGATTTTGGTTTCAAAAATACGAAATATTAGACTAAAAATACGGCATTTTGGCTTGAAAATACTTATTTTGAGCTCACCACATATGAAACTTCGGCTCTGAAAATACAAATTTCTGAACTTAAAAACATGAAATTTCTGACTTAAAAACATGGAATTTTAGCTCTAAAAATACGAAATTTCGGCTTTAAAGGTGGGGGGACATGAAAAAAATAATGTTCTCGAAATTCCGTTCAAAGATGCCCCTCGAGGAGTTGAACTTGTGACGATGATTGAGGGTGCGGCACCGCTACCGACTGGGCCACGCGGGCAAAGAGAAAGCGCAAGCCCGATTGCATACATAAAGGCGAGGACGACAGCTGTACGCAGAGTGACATTAACCGTTGTACACCGTGACGGTAGAATGCATACTCTAACTACAAAAAAACTACGAAAAATCTCCTGTCCCCCCACCTTAAAAATACTGATTTCCAGCTTGAACATGCGGAATTTTGGCTCTAAAAATAAGATCTTTCAGTTCTAAAAATACGAAATTTTGGCTTCAAAATACGAAATTTCATATTCAAAAATACGTAATTTTGGCTTTAAAAATATGGAATTTCGGCTCTAAAAATAGGAAATTCCGGTTTCAAAAATACGAAAATTTGTCTTAAAAATACGATTTTTTGGTTACTGTAGTTGTCGTTGTGGGACCTTCTGCCTTGTACCAGAATAACTCTTAATTTAAAATTCAAAACTCACAAGTCTTCGGAGTCAAAAACACTGACAAAGACGTGATCGTATCGCCATTGGGATCCCTGAACAACTCGGTCACTAGCAAATCGTTATCCTTCATTCTCAACGGAAACTTCTGCATATCGATATGATTCATACTTCCATTCGCACATCCAAGTATCAAAGAAGATCCAGCGGTATCGTAGCACGAGATTGGTTGAATATCCTGTGCCTGCCAGTTCTGCGTAGCCGAATGCCATATTCCCACTTTTCCCGACTTGCTGAGAGCCACCATTTGGGTGCCAACAAAGAACAAATTGTCAATGGAGACGTTCATAGAGAACAACCCTTTTTTCTCGGTTTTTCCCTCATCATCAATATGCCACAGGCCAATTGTGTCATCTGCAAACGCAACGGCTACCAGCCTCTCTGCTACAGTAGCAGCGATTTTTGTATTCACTGCGATATGCGTCACATAGGTTCTGGTACGTGGAGATTTCCAGAGAAGAATGTAGGTGTTCCACTCCGTCACTCTGAAAGTATTGTTTAAATTTTTTGGGTTTAAAGCTGGAAGTATTACCTATAGACACAGACAAAGTAGGAGTAGGCCACAACAATGGAGCATATATGGGCACGGATCATTCGGACTTTCAGCGGTTCCGTGTCTCGATCCGGTAGACTTTTGGACTTTGCCAACTCGGTTAACTCGTTTTTTATCTGGAAAATCAATAATTTCAGATTTCTCAGTTATCTTCCAACTCACATATTTACTCATATCACTAGATTGCTTTTTGGAATGTACACGATGTCTTGGGGACCCGCCGCTTGGCTTTTTAGATTCATTCGACTCGGAATACATTGGCGAACGGCTCTTCTCATTTGGCAGGTTTTCTAGAGGCATGTCTGGTGGCGGAATCATGCCGCAGAAATAGACGGAGCCGCATGACGTGGAACTAAGCTCTTCGCAAAGGGTTAAACGACGAATCAGTGGGGTTAGACCGAAGAAGAGAGCCTCGTGCTTCAGAGTCGCCACTTTTAGACCTCTGGAATTAATATTTTTAGCTTTTGGTCTGAATTTGAATAGTTTGAAACTCACCCCAAATCCACTTGCTTCGTCCTTAAATAGTTCAAAATTACTCGAAACACATCGGGATCTCTATCAATGAAAATCGCGCCACTGGCATCGCGAACACTATTCATTCTTCCACTCAGCAGACTCGTGAAGAACGAATCTGGTATCCAGCTCAAGGTATTACAACTGGTCGCAAAGATTCGCCCGCCAACGTTGAGATTCACAATGTAGTCGAAACCCGGCTCGTTTGAGAAAGATGATGACGAGGTGCACGGCGATTGTGCCATCTTTCTGGAAATCTCAATTTTTCGCTCGTTTTTTGTCTTTTTTCATTTGAAAAACGGAGAAAAAATTATAATTTCGAGATACGGTATATTAAAGGCACATGCATTATTTTGTAAAACCGTAGCTCTTTTCGCTTTAAAACCGGCTCACCGTCAAGAATCATACTAGAAAATCTGCTTTCAAAAGGAAGGAAAAAAACATATGATTGACATAAATTCAATTGATAAAGAGGGGAAAATAATACGTGGCGCAATGATAATGAATTCAAAGACTGGGAGCGGCGATGGGTAGGAAGTGGACACAGGTGACACTGAAACAAAATAGAGAATTGGCATAAGAAAAAATGATTTGTGATCTATCTCGTAAAAGTTTTGCATGCTAATTTCAATGCATGTGACTCCGGAAGGCTTGCACAAATTCACGCACAAACCACACTTCGGATATAAACGAAATCTGGACCTTTTGAACCAAAAAAGGATGAAAAAAGCATGTTTTGACTACACAATTCACTACGAAACACACAAGAGAGATGAACCCAAATCGAAATAGCGCTTTTCTTCTCTCCTCTCACTCGTTCTGCTTGGAGAGTCGTGACACACTTTTTCCCGTCATTGTCTGCGTCTCGCTTCCCCATTGACTCGCGTTCATTATAAATGTGAGTCATGGCGGTTCTAATTGTGCCGCCGCACCGAGGAAAACAATCTTTGAACTGAAAAGAACAAAAAAAATTGTCTTAAAAAATCATAAAAATTTATTTAAATAAATAGCAAAATTCAAAATCCTCCCATTATCTGGGCTTCGAGATCTTCTAACGACATGTGTTCCAAATTGCTTCCCGTACTTGGCTTCGCAGAAGAGGGTTCAGACTTCTTCACAGTACCCACTGGTGGTTGTATCCATTCGCAAGTCAACTCTGGCATCCAACTATCGCCAGTTTCTAGTTCAGCACCCCACGCGTTGGTTCCCGCTTCGAATTCGACGATCCGTTTCCGTCGTTCCTTTTTGCTGATGGCAGATGAGATGTTGGAGATTGGGCCGAACTGAAAATTTTTAGGAGATTTATATTTTTTCAGTTTTTCAGAACTTACATTTGAAAAAATTTTCCTAATATCCTCTTCAGAATAATCTTGTCCTCCTTGCGCTACTTTCCACTTTACTAACAGCTGAGGTGTCGTTCTTTCTCGATTCTTCTGATGTTTCTCTCTTTCAGCCTTCATTAGTGTGTTCTTCTGCCGAACTTCCTCGTTGACTTCCTTCTCCAATTGTCTTCGAATCGCTTCAATCTCCTCTTTAAAGTTTCTCTGCTCGGTTTTCTTCTTTTTGGCCTGTTGAGCTGCCGTCATTGTTGCATCCGCATGACGTTTACCACCATTGAATTCGCTCTCACGCTTTTCCAACTCCTCGATCAATTTCCTCCTCACTCCATCAGCTTCTGCCATTCGCTTACTGTAGTTCTCCTGTGCCACTCGAATTTTTTCCTCTCCTTTGTCATATTCTGCTCGTTTTTCTTTATCATAAAGAAAATCAAACGCTTCTTTAGCTTCAATGAATTTTCTCTCTGCTTCCTCTTTGTTGTCCAAGTTTTTGTCAGGATGCCACTTGAGACATTGTGCACGATAAGCCTTCTGAATCTCCTTTTCTGTGCATCCTTTTTCGAGATCGAGGATTTTGTAGGGGTTCGCACCGGGTTTCAGAGGCATTTTTGGGTCTGAAAGTTTAGAAAAGGTGCAAAGAGAAAAAAGAAAAACGCGACAACGAAAAATAGTAAAATTTTCGAATCTGGAAACAAAAAAATAAATTCGAAAATCTAAAAAAAAAGAGCGAAACTAGAAAGAGACATCACTCAAAATCGAGAGACGCAGAGAAATTTAGCCTCAGAGCGCGCTTGCTTTCACAAACGACATTCCGATTTTACACATCTGCACTTTGTTTACCTTAAATCTCCCCCGAAGAAATGCATCACATTGTTCCTTTCATTAACTCCCTCAACCAATTATCATCTAATCACCTATCTTTTCCAGCTTTTACGGGTCAAACGCTTGGTAAAATGGAGACTAGCGCAGGGAAAGAAGATGTCTCACAAGAGTTTTTCAAGCTATGTGAAGGTTAGCTTTCTGTTAATTGCTAACAATCCTAGTTGTACAAATTTTGCAGGCTTGTCGGTTGGTGAAATGGTGACAACTCCCAAATTCACACTCCTCGAAGTCATGTCAGCGATTGAGCTTATGGAACCAAAGATGGATGTCGGAGTTGGAGCGTCACATCTCAAAACTCTGGATGACGCTATTGCAGATGTAAAATTAACAAAAAAGCTGTAAATTATATACTAATATTTCTAGGGACTCTACGGAGATGATATGCCAATGCAGCTCGCTGTGATGGATGCCACACTTGCAATGGTTGTGGCGTGGCTAGAAGGCTCTTCACTGGGTACCACAGTATGGACTAATGTGATGTTAGCGAATGTCGCCAAGATTACACATCCCCTCTTTCATCCCTTTGCGGCTGGCATCAATCTTCTGGTTCGCAACATTTACTCACTAGTCAATAATGTTGGCAATCTCGAAGAGCTGCCTGAAGACTTCAATCCACAAAACCTCTTCAACAACCAAACATGGATGCATCGACGAGACATCATTATAATGATGAGAGAACAAATGCATGCACTGGAGAGGCAGGGTGCCAGTTGGAGCAAAGAAACCGGCAGTAGACGTGCAGTGGAAATTTGTACTGCATGCAGTGCTCGTCTTGAATTCGTCACCCTGATGTTGGATATCATGTCGTATTTGATGCCTCCAGAGATTGAAAATCCCCATTTTGATCATAAAATCTATGTGGGAGGTCATGAACCAATGTCAGAGAAAGATTATGAAGATCTTGAAAAACTGAGATTGGAGGATGCCGAAGAACAGAGAGAAGAACCAAAAGAGGATACTGTAGAAGATACGTCACCAGGCAAGAAAGAGCATAAGAAGAATGGGAAGAAGCAGAAGAGAAAGAAGAATAAGAAGCATGCGAAGCAAGCGAAGAAGGAGTCTCCAAAAACCTCCCCCACTAAACCTGAAGAAGAGAAACCAAACAGCAGCTCCGCGAATCCTGCCGAATCAGAAGACGTCGACGATGAAGAGGAATACATGGAGGACGAGGATGATTGCTCCTCCTGTGACGATCCAGCTCAGTTCACACCAAACTTCCAATTCGCTGCAGTTTTATCTGATCGGTTGATCCAAATTTCGCATCTGATCAAGAATACAGTAATCCTTGGAAGACGTGGACCTGATAATGAAGATGGCGACTATAAATGGTTGATGCCATTCGACTCGAAAGCCTGCGTTCGAATGATTCCTGCATGCTTCCCACGTAGTGTAAAATATCCAACACGTATGGAAGCAGCCGTCTGGTGGACTGAATGTGCTCAGCGAATCTATGACCTTAGTCGTCTGCCACCAAAGTCAACGAAAGACATCAATATGCTTTTCTTCTTCGCCCAGCAGTTCACAGTCAAATCTTGTGTCTTCACCAGATCGTTGCTCCAGGTCATCATGTTCCCAACCGATGCCCATTTGATGGGAGGGAATACTACTTGCGCTGAGCCCATCGAAGATTCATTGAAAAACAATTTCATGCCGCAGGTTTTGGATAAAGAGTGAGTGTTCCGACCTTTTCGTAAAAATCGTTACCTAAATTCCCAGCTCGCCGGTCCACGATGATCCATTAGCACGACAACTCTACTTGAACTTTTTGAACCAAATGTCAAAGCTTGCCGTTAATGTATACAGTAGCTTCGGTTGCAATCTGTCCCGACAAAGAGACCGATTGGAAATGGCGCTTGAGGAATTGGCGCATATTCAGTTCTACGCAGGACAGGTTGAGAAGCGAACGGATGAGGTGATGATTGCTGCGAAGATGATAGATTGTAAGTTTTACAATTCATCACAATAATGAGTATCTAACTGGAATTAAAGCTTCAGGTAAAGAACAGAACTCGTCCTTCCACTCAATCGCCTCCTTTGTCTTCCATAACCTGGTTGGAATCATCCATTACTACTTCGAGCTAGGATTCCGGATGGATCTATTTGTCCCTTACGAGTTCCCCTACATCTTCTGGTTTCTGGGAGAAATTGACGCCAAGTGGATGATGACAACTATGGAGCGATCGCAAGAGATTCAGTTGAATTACTGGAAAGGAAGTTCGCTGTCGACGACGTTGAATCAACGGCGACAGAAGGAGAAGCAAGCAAGGGAGGCGGATCTGAAGCGCCGATTCGTTGTTCACCAGTTCAATGTGTTGAATCAATACGCTATTTCACTGATATGCGAGGGAATTGTCAAGTTGTCAGTGATTCTGATTCGCAAAGGAATCGTTAGGGTGCCCGATGGTGGAGATGAAGCTGAACGTCTTCGATTCGAGCGTCGTTTCGAGCCACTTCAAAATCTAGGACCACCATTGAATGTTAATTATGAGCAATTCAAAGCCAAGACCAGGTAGGCTTTCCGCTTACTTGAAATACACCTTATTCTTTTATTGTTCAGAATCGATGAGCTCTACCAAGTGGAGATGAACGATCTGATTGACGCCGCCGCGGAGAATTTCAACCAGGCAAAGGCGAACCTGGAGCAACTGGACAACACCGTAGAGCAGAATCGTACCAACTTGTTCGTAGACACAATGTGGTCCATGAAACGTCTTCTTAATTCCAGCGAGCTGCTTCAAATAACTAAATCCAATATGGTCGCTTGTCGGCTGCTGAAAATGATGAACTTGGAAGGACGCAAAGTCGAATGGACCTATCCAGAACAGCTTCCAATGTATCCGTACCTATCAATTAAGTAGTGTGACTAGTCATTTTTCTGTCTCTTGCCAAGTGTTCTTTTCTTCTTCCCCGTGATCTCTGATCCAGTCACAATCAGTCCGAGATCTGTTTTGTCCTATTCTAGTTATTTTTTCTCTTTTCCTCTTTTCCCCCGACATCTCTTCTAGTTTGCCATCCACTTTCTTCTTTCATGTATTTTATATAAATCCAGATTTTATTTTTATTTTAATTACCTATATTAGCCCAAAGATTCTAAATATTCCCTGTAGTAAAATGACAATTGCTCCCCGTTGTTCTCATCTATCGCAATACATTTCGAAACCTTTCATCGCTCCTCTCTTTTTTCCCAGAATATGAAACCTGTTCGTTTTCTTTTTTATTTAATCTTTTCTCCATTTTTTTGGGTTCATTTTGACCTATTTATTTATCTTATCAAAGCCTGGTTTCCCTTTTTTAAGCAGAATTTCCAGATGAGACGTGCGGTCACCACTGCTCAACGCGCGTTCTCCTCCCGATTCGCCGTACAACCACAGAAGGCGTCCACGTCTTCAGTTCCAGATCGCTCCACGCTCGAGAAGGGTACTGTACAGCCGACGGTTCTGAAGCCGTTCGTCTCGGCCTCACTTCAACATGAAGATCTATTCAATTTTGAGAAATTGGTTCATGTTGATGAGATGTTCAAAGCGAGACTTCACTACGGACATAAGGTATTGGATTAGGAATAAACTCAGAATAAAACATATTTTTCCAGATCGGCACCGTCAATAACAATATGAAATGGGCGTTGTATGGAGAGCGTCTGGGAGTGTGCGTCTTCGATTTGGACATCACGAAACAGTATCTCGTGCGAGCGCTCAACTTCGTCGCTCATGTTGCGATGCGCGGTGGAATGATTCTATTTGTGACGTCCAACCGGGACACCATGTTTGATGTGGAGAAGGCTGCAGAGGAGGTGAGAAGGGGAGATGGTGGTGTAGTGGTTGTGAGGGGAGATTGGAATTGGGTGGGTGGGGTTGAGGGACACAGCAATGATGTGAAAATACTTTGATCCGATGAATGGTGAATCCTACTGTAGGTTCCTACAGGAGAGTTCACTGTTTCTGTGGAATTAGCGATCCTGAGCTGTTTTTTAGAATTTGAAAGTATTTACTGTAAAACCTGTAATAGAAGGGCCCCACCTTGTAAATATTGAGCTAATTTATCTCGGCTCCTTTAAGGTATATCGAAATTGTGTCAACTGATAAAATTTTTGTGGCTAAACCAGGAAATTCTTAACGATTCTGAAGCCATTTTGGACGTTTTCAAAGTAGAAAAAGCCAGCAATAGTTTCAGAATACCTTGAGAAAATTCTAAACGATTCTGGAGACTTCTGAAGATTCTAGACGATTTCGAAGGCTTCAAGAATTGTTTCAAAAGGACCTTGTGAGCGTCAGAAGGCGTCTAGGCTATTCTAAAAAGCTCTAGACGGTTCCAGAAGGATCTGGATGAATCTGGAAGACATTAGATGGTTTTTTGTAGATGTGAAGGATTCTAGAACGTTCTGGAGCAACAATATTATGATAAACTATTTATCTTTGATAGTAATCAAGAGGGGCCCTTGTATTACAGGTTTTAACGGTAGATGCGACCACTGATGAACTCCCAGCCACAAAAATACAAATAACATACAAATTTCCAGGTCGGACAATACTCGCACGTGAGAAAATGGCAATCCGGAACGCTAACCAACACTCGCCAGCTTCTGGGTGCCTCCGTTCGACTCCCTGATGCGGTATTCTTCCTGTCGACTCTCACATCACTCGGTGAAAACCATCCGGCAATCATCGAAGCCGCGAAAATGACGATTCCGACGATCGGAGTGGTCGACTCGAACTCGGATCCCGCCTATCTGACATACTTGATTCCAGCCAACGACGACACCCCGCAATCCACAGAATACCTATTGAGAATGTTCAAGGAAGCGATTCGAAAGGGGCAGGACGAGAGGAAGCGTTTGCAGCAAAGAGGGAAATAAGAGGAAAATATATTTTTTGGATTAGATTTTCAGATTTTTTTGGTAGAGATCGTAGAAGATCCTTTGTTTCTTGTTTTGCTTTTTTGTTCCTTTGATATATTTTTGTTCAAAATAATATATTTTTCTTTGAATTTCTTTTTGAAACTTTCCTTCTAAACCTGATTTCTGTTCCTGAACAGATTATTATTATCTCGATTTTTTTTCCTATTATTCTGGGTCTCACAAGGACAGCTACAGTAACCTAAAGTATTTTTTTTTCCTTTTTTTCTCATTTTTTCCTTAAAAACTTGCCTTTTTTTTTGCTATAGAAAATCTGGAATTTTGAGCCCAAAAATAGCCTTTTTAAAATATTTTTGGCTGAAAATGCCACAAATTCAGTTGATTTTGAGGCAATACTTTGGATTTTTTCTCAAAAATAGTGATTTTTCGATTCAAAATCATCTATAATTTCGGATTTTGAGTCAAAAAAGACATTTTTTAACTATTTTTCAGCTGAAACCGACCCAAATTCGGCTGATTTTGAGGCAATAATTAGGATTTTTTGTATTAATTTTTTTCAAAAATTTGTGTTTTTTTCTAGTCAAAATTAGGAATTTTGAGGCAAAAATTGCCTTTTTAAAAGATTTTTTGGCTGAAATTTACCCTAATTCGGTTGATTTTGAGAAAATTGGGATTTTTCCTAATTTTTTTTTAATTAGTGATTTTTTGGACTCAAAATATCCAAATTTCTGATTTTTTAAGCTTCAAATTTTTCTTGGTCGTCACAGCAGTGAAAAAAATTCTGAAAAAACATATTTTTGGGTTACTGTAGTTGTCGTTGTGGGACCTTTGGCCACGCCCACCAGCTCCCTCTTTTTTTCCAGATGCTATCACGACAATTCCGCCTGCTAATATCAAATCGAGCCTTCTCGGCCGCCGTCCAAGATGCCACGTCATCCACTGACACCCGTAGAGAACTGTGGCGAAAACCCGAATCGCCGTTCGTCAAAACTCCACAAGCATGGGTCTCTAGCCTCGAAACTGTTGAAGACGAGAAGCTCGGACTCGTGGATCTCCATCCGGATATCTTCAGAACAACGCCACGTATCGACATCCTTCATCGTAATCTAACATGGCAGAGCGTCTACCGAAACGTGCAGATGACGAAGATGCTAACGAAGGCCGAGATGCCGGGAGGAGGAAGGAAGCCGTGGCCACAGAAGAAGACGGGAAGAGCACACGTCGGATCGATCCGCGCGCCGCAGTTCATTCGAGGAGGTTTCGCGAATGGTGTCAGAGGACCAAGGACCTGGTTCTACATGCTACCAGATGCGATTCGGATTCAAGGACTGTGTGTGGCGTTGACTTTGAAGCACGCTCAAGACGACTTGCACATTGTTGATAACATTCAGAATTTGCAAAATGGAGATCCAAAGTTCTGGATTGATGTAGGGAGTTTCCCCCTCTACTCATAGTTATTCAGTTTTTTTCAAAATTTCATAATTTCCAGCTCTGCGAAGCACGCAACTACGGCTACTCGGTCCTCTTCATCGATGATTGTGACGAGGTGTCTGGAGGACTCGCCGAGGCCCAGCAAGCCCTTCCATGGCTCAACGTGATGCCTGTCTACGGTCTCAACTGCTTCTCACTCATCAAATACGATACTGTAGTGTTGTCAAGAAACGCTTTGGATAGAATTGAAGAACGACTACTGACGCACATTCACCGAGCAGGCCCAATGAACAAAAAGTACAAGTACATGGATATGAAGGAGAAGATTCTTCAAGAAGCCGAAGGGGAGGAGCATCCACTGATGCCACCTGTTGTTTAATTGCGTTTTTATTATAGTTTTTGTGGTTTTTGTAGTTTTTGTAGGCTTGTTTTCCTTCTCTTTGTTGATATTATCCAATTAAAAATTATTATAAAATCGAATATCTTTACCTTTACCTGAAATATGTCAAAAATTGTCCACTCCTCAAACCTTTATTTATAGAAATATCTTACACCGGGTTCCTTAACCGAAATTCCTAGAATGTCGGATTCTGAGCCATCGATTGCCATCGACGAGGATCCAGATGACAAGGCAGAAGCCTCGGAAGCGTCAAAGTTCGAAGCGAATGCTTACATCTCCCAGCTTATCGGATTTATGAAATCCACGGAGAAAGATGCGAATGAGAAATTCGCGGAACTGGTTAAGAAAGTACGTTATTATTTGAATAGCTCAATCGAAAACCTAGATAATCCACGTGGCGCATTTGCAGACATGGCAGATGCCTTCCGATTCTAACAACTTCTGCACACCATCCTATTCACTGGATTCTGGAAGTGTCTCGAAGCTTCCGCAAAGTATGATGGCCCAAAAACGAATCGCCGGAACGCAAAGGCTCATGTTCGCGCCAGGCCTGAACAAGCCTGGACTGGATAAGGCCAGTCTGATTGCCAGCGCATCGTCGGCGTCTGGAAGTGGTCCGTCTTCGGTTGGAATGACGGCTTTGGTGAGGGAAATTAATTGGAGATGATGATGATAAATGGCTTTGTTTGAATGAGTTGCAGAAAAAGGCGAAAAAGCAGGTGCCGGTGATCGACGACTCGATTTATTGTACGACAGATCAGGTGAGTTGTCGAGCTATTTTTGAATTTTTTCATTTGGAAATTTGATATTTGCCACACAAACCTCTTAAACGCCCACTGTGTTTTTCGGAACGTCTTGCTACTTGCCGCGACACGATCGCGCCGCGCGTCTAAACTTTGAGGCTCCCTTCCGCGGCGCCCTGGCGACGCTCATCAATTCTCAATCGATTTTTCAGCCATGCAAAACATGTGGCGGTGTCTCACAAGCCGGAAACCAAGTGCTCGCCTGTAAAAACTGCCGTGATTGCTTCCACATGCGATGCAGTGTGCCGCCCGTTTCCGTTGAAGAAGCGTCCGAACCGAGCTTTGTGTACCACTGCAAAACGTGTCTCATCTCGAAGAAAGTGGTTGGTTTTCTAGCTTTTTTCAACTTTTCATAAGAAATTTTGAATTTCAGATGAGCACGAGTCGCTCGCGATCACCGAGTCCTCAAGTGGTGGAGGCGAAGAAGATGCGAATGACTGGAAGAACGAAACCATGAACTTGACACATCTAACCGATTAACATTATGAAATTTAACATTCCTGTGAAAAACATTCTCTCTGTGTAAAAGAAGCATAAGAAATCGCTTGTTATAAATAAATTTTTAACTCGTTGAAACAATTGTAATTTTCAAGTCATGAATGATTCTGCTCAAGTGGCACTGCCGAGCACTCGCACTCGCTTCCATGGGGCACATTGACGAACTTGATGCTCTCAGCGGCTCCTTCATCACAATCGTCCAGAATCACTTTTCGAATTGATGTCTGCACCAGAGTACAGACTTTGCTGATTTGGACACGTGGGGGGAAGCCATGAGTGCCGCTCTGAAACTCAGAATTTTGAATTTCATGGAGATAAGTGCGCTCCACTGATAATGAGTTCGAACTGCTGTTGTATGCAGCTGTGCTCTATTGACAAGGCTGAAAATTGCAAGAAATTTGAATTTTCAACGGCCTACTTTGCCTTGTCATCTTCTCATTAAAGCGCAACAGCATACCGCAGCAGTTGGCACCCTGTGAGTTCGTACCTCACTAGTCTTACAGTATCCCTTGCAAAACGGTAATTCCACGTTTCCGCGACACTCTTTTCCGGCTGCGTCTTTTTGGACAAGTGGATTGAAGCCAGGCACAAGACGCATCGCAAACTCGCATTCTTTTCCAGATTCGACGGATATCTGGAACTCCGGAAGTTCAGAAAAATCTTGGAATTATTCCGGCACAAAAAAAAGGTGAAAAAGGTGAAGGTCCCACAGCGAAAACTACCGTAACCTAAAAACATTAATATTATAAACAGAAAACTCGACTAAAAATAAACATATTTTTAGGTTACGGTATTGTCTATTCAATAAAACGTGGGCGCG